CAAAAATTGGATAATAGATGGTTTGGTGGACGTAGGATAAGTGCATTGTTATATGACTTCAAAAGATTTCAATTAGGCGATTATTCAAATTAAAGAAAACATGGAAACATCAATTATATACATTTTGTAGAGAAAATAATAATTAATTATAACCTGTCTGTTGAAACAAGGGTTATGGTGTGTACCACCTACATATACCTATTCAAAAATGCCGATCAGTCTGAAATTTTGATTATAGATCTCCCAAAATCTTTTTTTGTTCCATCATTCATTGTTAAATTGTTTATCATTGTTATAATTAATCCATTATTGTTTTATTAAAAATGGGTAAACATCAATTAAGGCTCCAAACAAATCAATGAAGTTCAAACCAATTCAAATCAAATCAAATCACCTAATTTTGGTTTGAATCAGTTCAAATTGAATTAAATCAAATTCAAATTGTACTTTGATTTGATTTTTTTGAACTGATTTGAATCTATAGCAATTATTATCATTCATTAGTTATTTAGATTTAATGAATTGTACAACTGTAAATTGTATTACTTTTTATTTGTCATTATGTTATCATTATTATTATCAATAATAATATGATATTGTTATCAATAATAATATGATATTGTTATCAATAATAATATGATAGTGACCTTACTTAGTGGACTGAAATTGCCTCATTAATTGGCCTAAAACTAATTTTAATGGCTGAAATTAGAAATTATTTTAAAATAAAGTAGATTGATTAAATACTTATATGTATTTGGCAAAACTACCTTTTTTCAAAATAATTTCAGCCACCATCACTAAATAATATCCTTTATCAATTAAAAAATTTTAAATTTAAAAATATACACAATCTTGGTTTGGGCCTGATTCATTTCATCAACAGTCATTTCATTGACACCCATTTTGTTGAAAGTTTGTTTCATCAAAAGTTCATTTTGTCAAATGTTCATTTCATTGAATGTTCGTTTTGTTGAAAATTTGTTTCATCACAAAAAAAACTTCATTAAACAAATTTCTCCTCACACTTCCCACACACCCTGCTTTCCTCACCTAATTTCTTAACTAACTTCCCACACTCCTCACATCTAACTTGTTTGGTCTCTGGCTCAAGGATGAAATAATTTTTGATGAAATGAACATTTGACGAAATGATCTTTCAATGAAACAAACTTTCAACGAAATGGGTGTCAACAAAATGATTGTTGATGAAATAATTTTTGATGAAGTAAACGCAACCGCTTGGACCACTTGGTAGAGTGTAGATAATTAGTAATTAGAAAAGATTTTTTATTATTAAATTACAGCCAAACCTTGTCACAGTGGACTATAATTAGATTCTTGTTGTAACAGATTTTTAAAACTTTTGCTTCATATATATTAATATATAAAAACCCGTTATATTGAGAAGAATATTATTATTAATTAAATCAAAGCAACATAAATTTAATATGACATTAAAAAAAATTTTAGGAATTCATTTTGATTCAAATCTAAGGCTCCAAACAGATCAAATCAGATCTTATTAATTGCAATCTGTTTTAAATCAGAGCAGACCAGATCAGAACAAAGCCAGACCAGATCAGATCCTACTTAATTGCAATCTGTTTTGAATCAGATCAGATAAAAATTCTTAATTCATAATTTCTTTCATAAATGATTTTTTATAAATTTTATTATTATTATATATACATAATATCTCAGATCAGGCCTCAGATTCCAGATCAGATCAGATTCAGTATTTAAAGAACCAGATCAGTTCAGTTCAGCTTAAACAGATTTCAGCTCAGATCAGCTTAAACCAGATCTGTTTGATGCCTTATTTATTATATTGTTAATCAATCAATGACAAAATCAAATATCCAATTAACCAAATATTCACTGAATATTATTCATTGGATGAAACCTCTATCATTCCTGTTTTTGATATATACTTCAAGTTAGGGTTGGGATATTTATCATACCATGTGGTATATTACCTGTTATATAATACCATAGTGGCAGGACATCTATGATGGGCATTATGCAACTTTTTGAACATTAATATGTATAATGGCGTGATGATCTTTTCTATTTAAAATTATTTGTAAATATATAAAGCTCCTAACAGGTCGGGTTCGGGCTTGGCCCGAATCTTTTAAAGGCAAACCCGAGACCGGCCCGAACCCGACCCAAAATTTTCGGGTCGATTACGGGTTAATAAGAAAATTTGTGATTTACATAAATTCAGATAATAATAATTAATTAAATATAAAAGGCGAAACAGTTATAGTGGTTTAAAAGCTGTAATTTGTGTCATGCGTGGCGCTAAACACAATTTATGATGCAAGAGATATAGAACTCAATTCGTGACACAAGACGTAACTCAAGGCAATTCGTGACGCAAGACGTAATTCAAGACAATTCGTGACACAATACATAATTAAAGACACAAGGCTGGTGGATGACGGCCGGAACTAATCATAGTTTAGGCCAAATTTTGCGGTGAAGTTGGCGAAACCTAAACTGCAGGTGAAAACTGAACAGTCAATTAAACTCTACTGTTTAATTTCCGACCACCAAAGTGTTTTATTAACAAAAAAAAAAGAATTGATTTGCTTTATTATTACAAAACAAATTGGTCAAAAATGACATTATTTTTATGATAATCATAATCTTTTTTAATAAATATATTAATAAAAATACAATATATAGATCACATGTCCGGCATACGATTGGACGGCACTTCGATAAATCCGTTTTATTTATCATAAAACTTTGGTCA